TCGCTCAGTTTCGATTCGTCTCGGAAAAGGCAGCATGTGCGTGAATTCGAACAATTCACACCATAGTTGGCGAATTTCTGATTTACATGTACCGGTACTACAGCACCAGTATAGGCAAGAAACAAACTGCACGATACATACTCGTACAGAAAATCGATTTTGCACTGACCCCAGAAGACCTGACTGGCTAATACATGTACATTGTAAGTCTGGGGGAGTTAATCGGGAGAGAATCAACTGGATTTTTCATGTTTTAATACAGGCAATACAAGCACAAGGTACTACATTACTTTAGGTACGAGTATGCGCACTCAGATCTCATTTTTGTTGAAAATGTCGCGCACCAGTGCATGGTACGTCGGAGTAAGTTGAAGTCACAGTGGGCTTACCTAGTGGTCTTACCCACACCGATCCTGTGTCCGTTTCCCTTGACGTGTACACCGTGTAGACTCTGGTGCACATTGTCCTTATCACAATCCTCTACGCCATGCCGAAGTAAAGCATGTCCACAAGTAATAGCAAGAGTGAATGCAAGTGTGTTGGCTCTTACTAGTCTTGGTCACTAGCTGAGGGTGTTGTTGGAAAAGGAAAATATCTGAAGAGAAAATTGGCTGTCGCCACCAGGATTTAACCAGGGACTTGAGGCTTGAGGCTACATGTAGCGCTGCTCTAACCACTGAGCTATGGTGTACTGTAGTTGTCATCCAAGAGAACATTGACTCCTGGTAACAGCTACAGATACATTGTACATTGTTGCGCATGATAATATTATTATTAACTTAGGCCCACGTGATGAAACACGTCTACTAAGGACTCGAACGAATAGATGACCAGCTTTTCACGCAGTAGAAGTGCCGTATGGATCCGTAATAACGGATAGATTGCCTGGACATCCCTTGTAGAATAAAGTATTCCGAAATGTGTTTAACGCCTCTGTTCCTCTGCACCGTGTACACCGGTACCCCATTCTAAGTTGATCGACATGTGAAATACGCGTGATGACAGTCAAATGCAGTATGACGTGTTCCCCAAAAGGTCCTCCTTCTCTAACTTCCACAAGCAGCGTGACCGGTTAAAAGCGGTTTCATTCAAGAGCTGCTCGACACTGTGCCAGAGTTACTCTCGTAGTTGGTTGCCAGGTTGGTAAGGTGACTGAAATCTGCACTGTCAGAGTGCCATGACTCAGGAAAACGTTTATACAAGTTCTGTTACATGATGTCCGCGCCTTGCGCTGCATCCAGAGTTGGCGGCTCATTTTCAGTCAAGTGTGTACATACGAGCTCGTACATGTACATGCCTCCTTGCCCCTTGCCTGGCCTTGGCCACGCACGCTACACATGGGCCAGAATCGCCTTTCACAAAGCCATTACCTATAATCATGCACATTGTACAAGAGTAGTGCTGCTGCCTGCATTACAGGCTACTTGTCTTTTCGTAGTTAGAGCACTCTGGCGCTAGAGCAACGAGTTCCAGCACTGGGCTTTTACAAGTCATGTACATGTACATGTCCAGCTTTCAGATAGCTCCCAGCAGTGAGTCGTAGCCTCTACAATCCCTGCTTTTCACATAGCTCCAGCGTACTCCATTTTAGCCCGATGACATAGCATTCGCCAGATTATCACAGTATGTTCCAGTCATTATTTTATCCCTGACCATGGATGTTTACATGTACGTGTACATGTACGCGTACATGTACAAGTACGTGGGTTATCCTTCTTCTCGCAAAATTGACAACTACGTTTTTTGAAGTACTTCAAGTAGAACAGATTTTCTGTCCCGATCATCAGTGGAATTTTCGGAACTAAAGGGTCACCAATGGAAGCAACTAAAGTTAAATAATCAATCAGTGGTACTTCAAGTATTAAAATCCCATGGAAGGCTGTGGCCACCTCGCCGGAGTGTGGCTGCAATGACGTCAGAAATGGTCTTGGTCCTTCAGAAACGTGAATTGCCATTCTGTATTCCTCCTGTTCCTGGCCATCTTTAGCATTCTGAACAAGTGGACAGAATCATTTGATGTCACTGGTATTAGTTGTATTACTTCGTTTTTGCCGTGTCATACTTGGATCTGGCAACACCAGGACCGCCGCTAGTGGTTCCGTTTTTCTGCTAAAAATGTGACAAGTACTTGTTAAGAAACTCTGTGACACTATTGCACGCCTCTCATTAACCCGAACACATCACAACGGAAATGGATGTCAGAAACAATACAAGGTTTCTCTCCCTCTCCTTTTAAAGTGTTGCTGCTGACCTCGCGAAGTAGTTGCAGACTGAAAGGGTCACCACTTTCGAAGCTTCTAAATCGTAGTTATGGGTCTAATTCTATGCACGTAAAAATGACACAACATGCTTTCAGTGCTAAGCTACCGCAACGATGTATTACTGTCCTTGGCTACATCTTGTCTTTGTACATACATCTACATCTACTGTTCTTACAATCAAATGAACCCCTCGATAGGCACATTGCCTTTGGGTCATTTCATAATAATAATAATAATCAGGCGTCTACGTCTTACCAGTGGTATGCACAGACTACAGAGAGGTATGCATCCTTGGGTTCCAACCAGCCCACCCGTACATGTACAGTACTTATCCTCGAACTGAACGGCATCCACGCGCGGTCTTCTGCGCATCCGCCTAAACCCGTCGCTAAGTACCAAACCTGGGCCAAATCCATTCTATAAAGTATATCCAGTAACCGGGTGACGAGAAATGCAGAACACGTACATTGACAGTCATTGTATTCGTGCGTCCTAGTCTAGATGTCCATGTTCACTGTCTACACTACAGGAGTCCTGGACTAGACTCGACTGGTGTCTACGAGCTTGTATCTGCTACATAGTCATTGTGAACGGTTAGCGAAGGTACTAGTACTCGCTAGTACTCGCTGGTACTCGCTAGTACTCGGTGTCCTGCGCCTCTTCCCTGTTTGTAGGTCAGGGATAATATAGAGTCCGGTCCAACCCTAGAGTCCGGTCCAACGCCCCTCACAGTAAAAAGCGGTTTGTTGGCAATCAACAGGCTAGTTTTGGTGTCTTATATTCCTAGCAAGAACAAGTGTTCCCTGAGCAATCCGAGAACCGAAAACAGTTCAGTGTGTTTTACTTCATCTGATAGCATCAAAAAGACAATAGCAAGGTTCTCCCAAGTGATGATTTGGCAACCTGATCAGTGATCAGACTTCATCACCGTGTTACAAGTAAGCCTTTAGGGAACTCCTCCCGCACCCCCAAGCTTGTGGTGTCGATGTCACAGTACATACCAGAATCTCGGAAGGAAAACAAATTCATTCTTGACATCTACTGCCGTAGCCAAACGACACTAGCCAGTGCCAACAGCGCATGATTTACTGGCGTGATATTGATTGGCAATTATTTACTACTAGTCTTGATATTAGCGTACCGGTACTAGTATGCTGAACCAAATACTTGAGATAGTAGTACCACACACGTCGACCCAGACCTACATGTACATGTACATGGCAGCGCGCATCCTTTTTGTCTGTATACGGCGGGCATTGCTCCGCTTCGAGGTACACTATCCGGGTGATACACTACACGTATTGTGCTAGTAAAGATGTGCTAATACTAGTAGCACTACTCCACTCTACTTGGAGTAAGTCAGTTGACCGTGGCATATTAGTAAGTCAGTTGACCGTGGCATATTAGTAAGTCAGTTGACCGTGGGGTATTTTCCTGCAGAATTCTACCTGGCACCTCATTAGACTCCGGCTAGTGTGAGCTGGACATGGTTGATGTAAATTCTGCCCGAAGCAACACTAATCTGAGGATGTACATGGCCATACTGTACTTGTAGCTGCGAGAAAGTAGTGATTTAGCCAGCGGCAATGCCCACCTGACCTGGCATGGTGTGTGCATTGACTTTGTGTACTCATACAAGTATGTACGCGTGTAGCCAATCTCCGGATAGGTAGCTGACCTGCACACATGTACACACGTACATGTATACACTGAAAGATGGTTATGGGCCTTGCGCTTGTACGGCTACTATAGAATCTTAACTTTGGAGCAGGAGGCCATTGTTAAGGTGAGTAACTTAAGACTATACACTTCTGCATTCCGCCATGCCAAAGTAACAAGCAACTAGCGAATCCAGGGTGACGGTAGATCAACAATACATACTTGGCCATGGAGCCCAGTAAGGCTGGCCAGAAGCATGGTGATCAGCTCGAAATACTTACCTCGGTTCAGATTTGATCGTGATGTAATCGCCTCCTAAAAGAGAGAATCAGACTGCCAGCTGTTGGATGTTCCTCTAGCCGCATGCCTCGGGTGTCGCAGGAGAAGGCTCTCGAATCGCCGCCAAAACACCATGCCCTGACACGGGCCAGGTCTGTTGCCGCAGGCTGGGAGGAAATGACTTTGTTGCTTGGTGCTGGATCCTTTCAAATATCAGCTCTCCAATCAATACACGTTGATCTCAGCAAATCTTCAGCTAGATTACCACCCCTGATGGGTATGGAAAATGAAGACCCCAGTCACGTAGGCAGCTCAGTTTGCCAGTGCAGTGCAACAGATAGGCCCAAACAGTGATACGTGTAGCAGGACCTCGCTGGGAGGTCAGGCGGCTTAGGTAGACAGGGTGCTCAGTCAGGATGGTGTTCCCTACTGCAATCTCTATGATCATCGGGAAGCGTGGACCAAAAAATCTTTTGTTTATACACGTCCACGTGGACATCGGACCCAGGCTGGTGGGCAGGAGCTGCAAACCATTCAATTCCAGATCTACATAACTTCATAAGTCACTGTAAGTACGCGCAGCACCTCATCCTCACCCCATCCTCCCATATCAGTCCAAGCATCGGACATGCCAAGCAAATCGTCAGCGATCACGTGAACAGCGGTTTCAGTGTCCGCCGTACTGCTGGCATGTTGTACTTGTCCTAGCTGTACTCGTGGGATGCAGCTATGGTTTATGCTGCATGTACAGAGCCTACTGCGTGGCACCGTATGCCTATGTAGCATGTGCTGAGATGAACTTATTAGATAGAAACCTGGCATGGGAGCCTCCAGTTGGGAACCCGCACCACTCATGAGGGGTCCACATTTGCCAGGATCATGAGGCAGCAGGCAAACAGGAGCAGCTGTAGAGAGGGGGGATGTGTGCTGACTGTGACCCTTCCTCTCCTGATACTGGCCAGTGTGTGCAGCAGGTCAGCCGTGGCGTCGATATTCTGGTAATAAGATGTCTTCTACATGTGTGTCTGTTGCAATGTAGTCCGGCACCAGCTAATGTGCATGTCGTGCAGTGAGGGTGTCGGTGGCGCCCTGCCATGCGCAAGACAGGTCGATAACAGATAACATCAGTGTTCACCGGACCACCAATCCTGATGCCAGCCTTGTCTTGATGCGATTGAGAGGTCACCTAGATTATGCCCTCCCACTTCATTATTGTACTGAAAGAGGTCACACCTTGCAGGCGTCATGCATGTTATGTTGTGTGCTGTCTCTTTGTTGTCCGTGTCCCTTGTGCTGCTGATGCTGGTTTGTGCAACGATGCGGGCCCACTTCCAGGAAGCAGATCTATGAGGGCTCAAGTCAGGCCTGGCAGAATGGACGCTGCGATCCTGAATTGGAAGTCTCCCAGCAGTCACAACACTGTATTCTCTCACACCCGTTGTTGAAACCAGTCCTGCGGGAATCCTTGAGGATCGGCATCGACTTGTGCAAGCTGAGATTTCGGGGCAAGAGATTCAACTGCTCTATCAACCCAAGCACTCCGTTTCTGTTCGGAAAGGGCATTTCAAAAGGTAAGAATAGAATGATGGATTCTAGGACTATACCGTTTGTTTGTTTGTTTCGGAAGAAACTATGGTATGGTGATACAGTGGTATGGTGATATGTAGTGTGTTGGGTGTAGAGGTGTCGATTGTACCATCTAAGTTTTGGTGTGAACCTCTAGGCCATATATGGCATAGGGTTATTAGGACTGGTAGGGGTTCACATTTTGTCGGCTCGTCTTTGGCTCGTGCTTTAGCGGCATGTGTGAGCGTGTGAGTGCCATGAGAGGCTTGTGAACTTGTGAGGGGAAAAAGTGCCAGGTGGATCGGCAACACGAAGCCACATCACTGGCTCAGTGGGCAAATTACGTCCTGGCTATTGTTCTACGTGCCACTTTCTCTCTCTCTCTTTCTCTCTCCGGGTCCTTCAAAGTTCATTTACACATCCCCAAGTGCGGTGCCTTGACAGGGATCTGCTGCCCCGATCCTTTGCTAGCTATGTGCAAAACACGATCGGGGCACCTCTTGTAAATTCGCCGCCGGACGCAGCTCTGCACTGTCGACATGTCCTGATTCCCGATCATCTGCGATCGCACCGCACGGGTTCCGAGTCTGCCCAAATTACGCGTGTCCGAATGTACCGTCGTGATGTCCCAAACTGTCACTATGTAATGCCCCTTTGATGGCGCCTGCGCACACCAGTCTGCCCTGGCGCATGTAGACCTGTGCTGCGTGTAGGCTGAGGTGGCTGAACGGCACTCGGATTTATACACATGCCGTCATGGTGGTGATCAATGACCATCACAGCCCTGTGTACGTACATGTTTATCCCATGGTATGCATAGGATAAAGCTGGAGGGAAGCATCACCCTTCATCGAATTCCAAAAGCAGTAGAATTTGGCTTTAGGCTGAAGATTTGCTGAGCCAAGTGTGGGGCCACGGGGCCGGCTAGCCTACGCTTTCTGTTGTCTTGGAGATTGGAAGAAAGCGAAAGATAACCATGCTTGAAATAACATGTACATGTACATGCAATGAGTAACGTTCGTAGTCAGAATCAGGTTGGATGTGGGGAGCGGGGTATTGATCATGTCGGCAGAAAACACCCTGTGAGTGACTGCGTGGAACAGCTTGATGCGTCGCAGTGTGAAGATAGATAATGGAGAGGATGCCTCGCCTTCACTTTGCACTCACCGGGCGGGCGTGCCTGAACAAAGGCCCTGTGATCGATGCCATCAGCACTGCTAGATGCTACGTAACGTCGTTGTGTACACTCAACGCAAGTGAAACATTTACTACAGTTACATATGTATGTACATGTGGCAGAGGGTCATGAATTCCATGCAATGAATCGCCAAGTTTGATTCAAGCAAGCTACTTAAAGTTGGTGAGGAGCTGAGGCATTAGAAAGCTGGATCAGTTGTTGGTGAATGCGATCACAATCGTTGCCGTATTGAAAAAAAGTAAAATAATGCCATTAAATAGCATGCACATGTAGTCAGCCTGAGGTTTTTCCTGCCATGGCCCAGCCGTACAGCCGTACAGCCCTACAGCCGTACAGCCGTACAGCCGTACAGCCACGAATTCCGTCAGAACCCGCCAGATCCCCGTGCACATGCGCATGCGGCGTGATCCTTGTAAACTGAGAAAGAGTACCATGGCGGTGCAGAGAGCGGAATCACCCCTGCCTGGGCCCAATCACCCCTGCCTGGGCCCAATCACCCCTGCCTGGGCCCTGGTGCAATGCAGTTTTTATTATTATTATTATTATTATTTATTCACAATCACGTGGCACTAGCCAATGAAATGGTGATGTGGGCGATAGCCAGCCATGGCGGTAATACAGCTAGAGGGGGGGAAAGAAAAAGAATGAAAGGGGAACTGAAAAGCAAAAGAAGCTAGGGCAGGGCGTTTCCCTGCATACCTTTCTTGGAGACCTCTAAAATACCTCGCCGGAATTCGGTACATGGTTGTGTACCAGAAACCTTACAAGAACAACTGAGCATTTTAAGCGTGTTTTCGTAGGGTCTAGCCAAGGCCACCACAGGGGAGCACAACCTGTTCTACCACGGCTGTGATCAACGAACGCTCCAAGGCAAGCGCAGTGATTCGCATACTTGCTTTTTGTTAACGGTTATTCGTTGCTTGGCAGCGGAGAGGCAGCTCACAAACCCGATGCATTGAAGTACGTATTGGCCTCCGGCATGGGAACGCAACCGGTTTCACCTACTGAGTATACTTCTAAACCCCGAACCTAGACACGAGTCCAAATGAACGTGAGGGCAATTGCAACTGAGGTAATACGAAGATTCCAAGGCCTTCTTTTAGCATCAGCCACGTTGCCGTTCACAGAATAAGCACTCACCGCTATCAGCCCTAGGTCAACAATTCAGTGTGCAGTATCGCTTCTGGGTCTAACACTATTAATCAGGTCCGGCTTCATCACTCAACTTTAGCTGCCTGCGCTTCACTAGCTTTCATTGCCATGAAGCCTCTTATTAACATATCGCCGGAAATGGCTTAGGCAATACAGGGTACAATTAATTCTATGTGAAACGTTTGGGCCGATCAGGGCTAACCTGCGCACCTGTTCATCACCACAAGTAAGTTATTTCCAGGGCTTGATGGAGTGTGTACAGTGTACATGCACATGTAGACATCGTCTTCCTTTCCTGCTGTTGTCTTCTTCTTTGACCAGTCCTTCATGTTGTCTTCGGAGGCCATACTGATCGCCATGCCAATGTCACAATTATAGAATGCTCGGACTATCGATAGGCTGAGTGCTGCACAACTACATGTACATGTACATCATGTCCAAGCTAGATTCGAGAATGCCAGAGTTGCATTTTCCAGACAGCTTCTTGAGAGAAGTGCGCGCCACTTGACCAAACTCCTGATTTGGTCAAAGCGCCGTGGATTAGTCAGTAGTGCGGCCATTTTCCATTTTGTCTTGGGTTTTACTAGTGATTGACATCCGTACCATTGGGAATAGCAACATCAGTCACTGCACTGTGCACTAGAGACAAGTAGATCACCTTCGACCTATTGTACGCTGCTCTACGGGTCCTGCTACTGTATTGAACTACCATATTTGGGTAGTGGTCAGTACTACGCTGGTCGTTGGTGGGGAGTACATTTAGACAAACAAGAGCCATCCTGATTCAATGTGATCTGAGTGCTCTTTCAGTGTTTGTTGGAGTGACTGTGCACTCGTGCGATATCCGCACAAGGTGTGAGCGTGAGGTCTAAAGCAGTTTTAAGGTTACACTTATGAACGACCCTTTACTATTTTAACCTATGGAGCACTGTGGCTATGTGTTGGGCGGCAGGGAGGACTGAGTACGTATGTACATGTTGGACATGCTGTATGTACATGTTAAATTGTTGGAAGTGCTGGGAAGTACAGGCACTAGTAGTCGTCTGGGGAAAGGAAGATGCTTTAGCGTGTACCATGGGTGCAATTGCCCCCCTCCCCCTTCTAGTTCAAGGTCTAGATCTGAACATCAACTATTTCTGAGTTAAAATTCTCAATCCTGGGATTCAGAAACTCACTGCAGATGGCTTTCAAGACAGTAGCATACCACTGCCATTGGTTTAGGTCAGTAGGGCGTCGTGCTGCTATGGATCCCTCCCGGACAGCTCGAACACTAACTAGCCCCGTACGGTATCGGTGGTGCAACCTATAACCGTTACTTGAAGGGAAACAGTTCGACAGTTCGACGATTCAATGGTTGTGCATGCTCTCTCGGTCTGGTGCGGATGTCCCAGATCTTCACGGATCGAAATGAGCAGTCCGTAAAGACACTTCGTAGATCAATGCAGAGACCGGATTGAACAAAGACGTCGTTTGAAAGTCGCATGTTTTAGAGTCTCTTCAGGTTGTCATTGACAAAAGCGGTGCAGTGATTGTCCAATCAATAGTGTCGTGCTGCAAGGAGGCACATTTTTCTTCTTCTTTTTTTAACATTTCGGCCAGTATGGCTGGACTGTGGACTTGGGGGTGAGACCTGGGGGAAGTTGCCATGCAGGGGTGTGATGAGAGCCCACCTCTCGGCACCGGAAGTACAACAGCTCGCTCCACTCGACTCTACTGGCTCTACAGAGTGACACTTCGTGTGCTTCTGGTGTGCTTCTAGCTCTGACGTCATTTTGTTGTCGAGGGAGTCTTAGTCCATCCAACCTGTGGCTGGCCTGTTGACTGTGAAGCCCAAACGGGTCCGAGATTCAAGCCTGTGCTAGGGACCAACACGCCATGCCGATATTGTTCGAGTGGCTGGGCATTCATTGTGCTAATGCCTTCATTCAATGCAAATGCCCAGTAAACACATGGCGATGATGTGTATGGCTCATGTAAATTGTTATGTATCCGCTCTCCAAACTGGATCATCTTGCACTAGCACTTTACTTGGAAGTAACTACTTGTATTAAGTATTAGTTGCTGCCATTGCTACAGTTGCGACGGCGTTGAGGAACATAGCTCAACTATTACTAATAGCAGCAGCTGCATTACCATTATATGGCATTAGGAATGGACTACCCTCGAGCCTCACGTGACGTGACCTCAAACCTGGTCAAGTGGTCAGCGCCGTGCTCCCAACGAACCTTGTGCAGTCGTCACATCATCTGATCCGCGAAAGGAAAGCTCGGCAAATATCTTGCGCACTTCTGCCTGTGTTTTGATGTCTAAGTCAGCGCATGCCGGCCACTTTGGCACTTGTCAAGACATTTGTACTTGTGATAGCATGTGATTCAGTTGCTTGATGGGCACTTGGATGCAGGCCCGGAAGGAATTTCCCTTTTGGAAATGTCGAGCTGATGAAAGGTTGCTTATGTGGACTGCAGATTGCCTGTGAGTTACGGTACATCTCCTCGTGGCTTGTCCTTTTATGCACTGTGCCTGACCTCGTCTGTGCTCATAACAATAAAATAGAAGACTAACGTTACAAGTATCCTCCGCAACTCTGCACAGCACAACATGGTACTGTAGTACTAGTACTTGACATGTTACTGAACGACCAAAGCGCCGCGTGGTCGACAAGTGCATGCTATCCAGAAAACACAAAATACAAGAGTGAAAAATTATTAATGATCATGCAAAACAGGAGCTCAGTGTGTGTGTGGGGGGCCGGGGGGGGGGGGGGGGGGGACGGACGTGGAGATGCTGCAATAGCACAACCATGGCGATATTAACACTTTGCTGCCATCCGAATGCTCAGCAATGATACTGTTACATGTATAACTAACTACTTTGAAGCAATGCAATGGTCCTTATTGGTACATCTCATGGTACATCTCATGGTACATCTCATGGTACATCTCATGGTACATCTCATGGTACATCTCATGGTACATCTCATGGCCTCAATGCACATGTACATGTATGTACTATTTACCTGAAGTGTTATATTCACAACGTAACTTTTGTTTAGGTGTTTATTACGTCATGTTATGCATTGTGACTTTGTAAGTTAGCATTTGAAGATTTTGGAGGACGCATTTTCCTGAACATATTCTCTGTTGTTTTTTACTGGGTTGGCTTGCTACAGGATCTCACCGCGAAAGCGCCTTCATCCACGCTTTGATTTCCGCCTCGGTTACCCACGGCGTGGCGCGTGCCTGCAGCGCTGGTCGCCTGGGCAGGCTATGCACGTGCGCAGTCGGCGGGCTCAGCGTCAGCCGGGATGATCCCAGCGGCACGCAGGGACGCAGCAGTGCCGCTTTCGACTGGGCGTGGTCTAGATGCGGCGACGACACCGATTACGGCGTGCGGATTGCAAAGGCGCTGGCCAGCAAACCCCGGGAATCCTCGTCGCGAAGAAAGCGACTGCACCATCACAACTACGTGGCCGGTTATCAAGTAAGCGGATGACGTCACCATTCTCTTTTTTGTAACTTATGGATATTCTGCAATTGCTTTTAAGCAGCAAACCAGTGCCTTTGACTTTGAGTGTGGAGCAGCTGTCGGGACATGTATAGGAATACACACGACACTAGAATTTAGACATGCACATGAAGAAGACAATTATTAGAAGTTCGCACTAACTTTAAATTTACTGTTCGTGCACATGGTCGGTACTTAATGTTCTTCTGGGGGGACAGAACTGTCTTACACTTTGAATTTACTGTTCGTGCACATGGTCGGTGCTAAATGTACTTCGGAGGGGACAGAACTGTCTTAACCGTTTCAGATTCAATTTTATCACCGCCACCAGAATATCGTCCCTGATTGCCTGAGACCTGTGCATTAGACCATATTCAGCTGGACAGGAGTTGGACTCCAACCGTTTTGTATCGACTGAGTCCATGCATACAGGGTTTTCAACTTGCCTTTTCCCAATATTATTTCTGTGTGCTTGCCTCATTCACAGGTGCCAGTGGAGATGGAGCAAGTGATATGTTCCTGCTACGGACACAGTGGTTCTTGCACGCAGAAGTTCTGTCACGTGAAGCAGCAGCGAGCAAGAACAGTGTCCCTCAGGTTGATGAAGCAGTACTCGAGGGCTACACTGGTCCAGGTCAGGAGAAGGTCCAGTGGTGGCTGGAGATTAAAGGAAGTGGACGGCGGAAAGCCGTCTAAGAACTCACTCGTCTACAGCACCCCATCGCCAGACTATTGTCAGCCTGACGTAGCATTGGGTTATCCAGGCACTAAAGATCGAGAGTGCACCAATGACTCATCGGATGATGAGGAGAGCTGTAGTAAGTTGTGCTGTGGTCGAGGCTTCAGTGCAAGAACATACGTGAAGATGGTGAACTGCCATTGCACGAGAAGGAGATTTCCCTGGCCAGTGCGGTGTCAGAGTTGCCGCGAAGAGGAACTAAGATATTTCTGCAAGTAGCTAGTGCACGCTGACATGGTTGATGATACGTTGACATAATATTCACATTGTGATGCGCGACGAGCGGTCTATATTCTTTATCACTAAAAGTGCATAGTCTATGTTGAAATCTATTCGCTGATCGCGGGCTGATTGCCGTGCTGCGGCTATTTGGCATATTTCCAGAGTTTTATCCAGGGCTTGTAATTCATTGAGGTATTTTCGGATCAGTTTTTCCATAGTTAGTAGCCCGCTTTGGTAAGATACTTGAAACCAATCTCATTTTTTATGACATTATTATTATGTTCCACTTCATGGACAGCTATTTATTCTTGATCAAAGACCCGAATATATATTGCCTATGTCCATCAGGAGAATTATTCTGAACGTGGTTTGCATGGTGATGTGATTCTCATTGTCAGTGCTATGTATTCATAATTGTTGCGACTGTAGTGTGCGTTCCGCGCATCCCTTTCAAATTTCTGAAGTAAGTTATTGAATCCTAGCTAAGATCAATCATGTGTGGAAGAAGGAAAATAACTTGTGTTCATAGAGCTGGGTCCAGGGAGCACGTTACAGAAAGCCATAGCATCCCTTTAAACTGAGTAAGACATTTTAGGAATGGGTTTGGCACCGTTTGCATCCCTTACTGGAGCTCGTGCTATTCTGCTACTTGACACTTGACTGACTCACAACTGCCATCTGTGGGGAGCAAACCCATTCCTAAAATATCATCACCGAAGTCGCAACCACTATTAATTTTCGTACTGTTGTGCCCAGCGCGGGCTTGCGACTAGCTGGTTTGGAGGTGACAGCGTTGTGAATGACCAAGGGTCCTCGACGTCTGTTCTCACCGTCCAGGAGCGACACTGACTCACGCTGCTATCTGGTGTTCACGAGGTGTTTGTCACGCTGGAAACGGAGCGTCTCTATAAGTTTGTATCCCTGGTGATGTTTGTGCCTGGAGACACTATAATGTGGTGCTCTTCAGGCACAATCTTCCTCAGCCTACTCAAGCTCAACTGATGAGGGGTGAATTCCCCGAAACACTGTGTATTGAGCAGGGAACGGTGCTTTCTTGCAGGTTTGCCGAGTCGAAGGTTCGATGGGCTTCTCGTGTGCTCTGGATGACAGTCGTGCGTCAGACAAGTGTCGAGTCAAGTCGGCGGAATAGCGCGAGCTCCAGTGTGGGGAGCAAACTCATTGCTAAAAATTAAAATATCATCGCCGAGGTCGCAACCACTATTTTCGTAAGTATTAAGATACATGTATTGAGGTACGTGTACAAGCACTATTGAGTAACTGACTCTACTCAAACAGGTCAACTTTCCGTTCCTGCAGGACGTCTTGTCCTTGACCCATGACGCCATGAAAGCATGATGTAACGCACAAGTGAGCGTTTTCTCACTTTCCACTAGACCGTAAAGACGTACTTCAAGTACGAATGGCCCGGAGGCAGATTTCCTGGGGCAAAGACTAGTGACCACAACAGAACTTAGGATTTCCCCGCAACTGAGTAGCCAGCTAGCTTGCAGTGCATCTTTCAAAGTCCTGATGCCTATTTATAATAATTGAACACATTGCAATACTCGTAAGCGGCTGTCCGTTATTTACCTTATCTACTTCAGTACTTGGGAACGTGTCTCTGGGCTGCGAATCACTGCCCCCATCTCTAAGAAAGAAAACAAAAGAGAAGGAGAGATGTAGGAGGGGAATGCCTTGTATCGTAGCATTACCTGTTCTACTCGACCTCGCCCCTCGAGGCCTCTGCCTCTGGTCCATCGATTAACCATTCTAGCTAGGCGTCGTGCGCTGTAGATGGTTTTTTTTCAGGTCAGCAAGACCATTGCTGGTGTTAGTGCCGGTAATATCGGAGTACCAGTGTGCCTTGCGGCAAAGCATCCCACTCAATGTAGTAATATTATGCAGGATAAGCTACATGATGTCACTGCCCGGATCCACTGAAGCTAGGGACTAGGGTGCCTCAGTTGAGTCCACTATTTAATAGTGTACTGTTCGACCGACACTAGTTATAGCAATACAGTCATGCATGCCATACTACTTGAGAACGGTTTTATTCACAACACCATGAAGGAAGAGTCAAAGCAAAAAGCATGCCATAATACTACTAGTACGTGAACACTGAAGTAATTATATTACATTAGTAGGACTGGTACAGTATAGTATTCATTTCTATAGTACTAGCCTGGTGACCCATACCGCCAACCTGAGAAGATGCCATCAGCTGACATTGAGCTAAGACTCGCGTACGAAACCGCACCGAACAACAAGTACTTTCAGCTTGATAAGAACAACACTTGGTCAGCTGCTCCGTACCGCGGCAACTACCATTATTGGTATGCGTGCGTTGCAAATAGTTCCTGCCTACTAATCTAATCAATCATTGGTCAGCCACGCGCGATGTCCTTGGCATTATTGAATAAGGGTTGCTCTGCGTGCGCGTGGCTCGGCTCTGCATGCATGTCATGAAAACAAAGATCCGAATGCCATCTGTATTTCGCTAGGGTTAAAGTCAGCAGGTGGTCCAAGTCCATTGTGATCGAGTGAATGCGCTGCTACAGTCATTGTATTTTACCATCAATTAAACTTGCACTCACAACAATCGTGTTAGAACTTAGAAGCACGTCACCATGCATCCACAGAATCAGACATCGACGAGTCCGTTCATCCGTGGAATAGTCATGACTACAAGCACAAGTTATGGCTCACGGGAATTTGCCGTATCCGTAGGAGTGATTCGCCACAACCATCCAGGGCCAAGGTTCAATCAAAGACAGTGGTGGTGAACATACATGTAGCATGTAGCATGTAGCATGTAGCATGTACATGTAGCATGTAGCATGTAGCATGTAGCATGTACATGTAGCATGTAGCATGTAGCATGTAGCATGTAGCATGTAGCATGTACATGTAGCACTAACATGTTTTAAAAGTGTGATCACTGATAAGACACATGTGAAAAGAGAAAGAAAGAGGACGAACAAAACAAGCACTCAAGCGCACTGTACAGCTACTACGGTGCTAACTTTGTTTGTTTGTTTCTTTGTTTGTTTGTTTTATTTGAATTCGCACGACCAAAAGAGCAGAGATGCTCAATAACAAGAACAACAGACAGGCAAAGAGACGGAGACAGAGATACATTGTACACTGTGGAGAGAGGTACTTCTGCCTGCGCAGGTGTTTCGCTCCAGCAGCGTCGGATCGCGGATACTAGTACTAGTAGTAGTAGGTCCTTCACAAGTCAACAGTAGATTCTACATGTACTGAGATTTACTTCGTAAAGTTTGTTTGCCTGGTCGATGTGCTGTTATTGTACAATGATTATGTACGTGTGAATGGAAACCATTTTGTACATGGACGGCTGCTAGAATCAAATTCCGTTCGCCCAGTTTAGTCACCTACCTACTTGACGCCTTTTGTTTCTAGTCTTTTTCCCTGTCTCACCTGTACCTTGGCCCAGTGTTGAGCTAACTACTAGTAATAGTTTTGTGTCGGAAAGGCATGTAATTGTTGTCTGTCCTTCCCAGCAACGGTACATTCATTCAATTTGAAGTGGGTGAGTGAGTATTGATCTGAGCAAAAGAGGCTAAAAGAGCACATCGCAATCCTTGCACGTTCCCCCTCGTACCGTGGCCAGCACGCGTACATGTACTGATTTTATTAGTGGAAGTGATGATACAATGCCTGTGATTCATCCAGCCTCTTTAGCACAATAGCAGAGAGAATATCGCGCAGACACCGCCAGTAGGTGTCTGGGTGATGTTGTTTAAATAAAAAGGTGACATTGTTAGCGATGATCAGACGTTCTCCATGCAATCAGAACCAAAGGCGCCGACGGGCGAACAGAAAACAATAATTCAGTATTGATGTCAGTCAGAGATACCTAGAACTAACTTAGTAGAACTGAGATGTCTCGGAGAGGGCCTGAATGGGACTAGCCGACATGATTGTCTTCTTTTGTCATTCTCCCACACGCTTTCAGACACTCTGGAACGGATATGGCAAGTTGCACCACATGTCACGCGGTGGTACTCAACGGTAGTGACTCTATCCGTCTATAACGTCATGTAGCCACGGCAGCTTGATTCTTTCTCACTTTGTAGTATCCTATCAACATGCCTACCACAGAGCAAATGAGTTCGGAACACCTGTCCTGTTTGTCTTGCTAATCTGAATGAGGACGGTATGCTAAATCATGCCTCAAGGGTACCAACGTCCTGTACAAGTGGGTGTCACTGCTCCGTTCACGTGTGCCTTTGGCTTTGTGTGACCTTCAGCATGCACATGGCGGTATCCAGGATCCAGTATCCAGTATGATGGTGTGGCATGAGTAATGAGTGGTGTAGTATGTACACGACTGCATGCACTGTACATGTACAAGGTCTACAGGTGGGCGCAACGTGGAGGCTCAGCGGCCACAAAGCCAAAGGTCAATGCTGTGCACGACTCCACGTCCTCTGTTGTAAGTACACGTGTGTCAGTTTAACTGGTTGTTATTCAAGGACGAAAACTGTAACGGCATTGCAAAGTGCCCATAACACCCCCGAGGAGGGGACAGGAGGGGTAGTTGGCGTACGGATTCCCTGTTCTTCAGTCCACGTGACATCGTACACTATCCTCTAGTACTAGTATCCAAAAACGGCATGATGAGTGTGTGTGTTTCAAAGGGAAATCCCCCTACCTAGCAATTCATAAAGACTCTCATTAAGAGCTACATTGTACAGTACATGTAAGAAGAACTACGAGTAAGAATACCAAATATGCTAAGCAAACTGGACCCGCTGTTACTGGATACAGGTTACTGGAGCCATTACCTGAGTCTTCAGCAGCTGAACATTGCCGTATCAACTAGAGAGCCGCTACACCTAATGTAATCTGTCTATTTGTATTACTACATGTAGCGCATGTACATGTACATGCAGTGTCTGCTCCAGCGCCGGGTGAGCCGGGTAATCCACCCCGTTGGGCGGCGCTTGGACCCGGTTGAAAATAGTACCGGGTCACCTGTGACCCGGTTGGTACTTTACACTTTCGAACTTTGAAAGGACTGACTACATGGCTTATATGTGTCAGATACTTCTTCTTTCGTAATTTTCTAATTCCTGTCCTCTCTTTTCTAAATGCCGCTTATCCATTCGCCCTTATATCATTGGGCCTAGTTTCCGTTTATTGTGCGAATTAAAATAAACCAACCAACCATGTTAAAGCATGTGACTCGGCTGGTGCTGAGACAGCGCCAGGTGGTTGCGCCAGGTACACGTGTACCCGGCTGTCCTACAATCCTAGAGGCTAGAGCAGACACTGACATGTACATGTATTTTCATGGAAACGGTGTCCATGACATTCGGGTGGCCTGCATAGACCCAGCGTACTACTAGAACTTAGAAGTAGAAGTAGTGACCTGAGCTACATAAACTGTCATTGTATAAAATAGTGTGTGCAAGTGCGCGCGCGTATGTGTGTGTCTGTGTGCGCGCGCGTGCATGCGTGCGTGT